AACTGATTGAGGCTATAAATTATTCAGAGGGAGTGCATACTTGGAACATTTGTGCAGGATAGATCTTTTGGTAATCTGATATTTCACCCTTAGAAGCTTACCTTTCTTGTCAATACCTTCCCAAGAACAGTTGTACTGAACTATCTAGTACCCACTAGCTGCAGTCAGCAGATCTCTTCTACTTTTACCATTGCTTGTTGTTATTGTGATGGAGAAAGAAACTGTTGCCTTATCCTAACAAAAGAGGATCAAACATGTACCACAAGCTACAAAAAAGCACTTGGATAACACTTGGTATTGACACTGAAAATACTTTTTTGATTTTCCTTAACTGATATTTGACAGGGTGTAACAAAATAATAACTTAATGATGTAATTACTAAAAGATGTGGAATTTTTCAGTGAGAGTATGCCACTTGTTATCTGTATAATTAATGTAATATTGGGAATTCTAAATAGTGCTGCTGTTCAGACGTGGAAATAAGTACAGCTACATCAGCACCATAGCGGGTTATGGTTGTTGGCGTGCAGTGATGATATAGGCATCAGTTTTGGTGACTGCCATAATATGACAAGATGTTTTGCGGGAATGGTCATGTAGTTGTTTTAGGGAATATTCAGTTCTTCCTGATCTAAAGTTCTACAATGGCACTTGGATTGAATCCTAGGCCAAGAGCTTGTTGTATTCCTCAATACTCTTCGGCAGTTTGCCTGTGTTCCTACTAATTTGTTTGAATAGCTGCAACACGCCTAACTACATCCAAGCAACAACATGAAGTTATTATGTTATTCTCAAGAAGATGACACTATCAACAGCTAATTTATGACAACCGTGATTGGCCATTTTCCAGCTGTATCCTCTGTATGCAGTCCCGCAACTTTACAATCAGGTTCACTTTGAGAGCTAAAATTAACAAAAGGAAAATAGATGAAAGATATAATCAATCTATTGGTACACTATCCTTCACCATTTAGAAAAGAAACCCAGGTGAAAATTCCCATCGAAAACCCAACCACACTAAAATAACCAAGGCGATGGTAGTACCAAGAAAGCACAAATCAAAATGATAATTATGCTCAGATGTGAAAACACACATCTATCCCTCAAACTGAGGCCCTTTCCTGCTGTAACAAGCCCTAGGCACTGATGGAACGGTCCTGGCAAAATTCCCAGGCTCTCCACAGTTGTAGCAGGTACCACCACCATCTCCACTACAGTCACTGTACCTTCATTGCCAATTAGGGTAAACCACTGCATTTAGTAAAGTCTCTTGAGTAATTGATGGGAAGTGTTGGTGAGTAATTATTGGCTTATTTCTCTGAAGTATTACTTTCTAAACGTTATTGTAATACTCTTTTTTTTCTTTTTTTTTGGGCAGTAATTTACTGTAATACTCTTTAATATTTGTTTTTGCAAATTATTATTATTTACTGGAAAAATCTTGCATGCATCATGATTAGCTAATAGTCTTAAAATGGTATTTCCATAAACTTCTTTGATCTTACTTGAAGTTTCTCAGAGGTTGACTTTTATTCACCAATTTCATGTTCTTTTTCTTCTTTTTTATGATTTGTTTCAAACTCAGAGAAGCTCAGTTTGAAGAGTGCAAATGATTACAAGTATCTGAGGCAGAGCAATTGCTATTCAATTGCTGGAGTTGATGATGCCGAACGATTTCATATTGTTTTGGTAATTCTTTCCTCTTGTGAAGCAACGCTCTTCTGTTTATTGTAGATTTGTATGGCACTATATTCATTCTGAAAGTCAGAGGTTGAGACGAGGGTTAACTTTACTGTGCCTTTTGCAGGAAGCTTTGGACATTGTTCATGTCAGCAAGGAAGACCAAGAAAGTGTGTTTGCAATGATTTCTGCAGTACTATGGCTTGGAAATGTCTCATTTACTGTGATTGATAATGAAAATCATGTTGAAGCTGTGGCAGATGAAAGTAAGATTCTTCTGGTTGCTTGGAATTTCTTTTAAATTTAAATTTTTTATAGTTAGGGTGATCTAATGCCACACCTTATTGTTTTGCGTCTTGCCTAATAGCACACCGAGATGTTAATAAATCTCTCCACCTCTACCACCAGTCACGAAAGGAAAACAGGGAAAGAAAACTAAAAAGTTTTGATTGTAGAGCATACTTTGTTGAGCAACCCACAATCAAATACTTGATTGACTCTTTTTTATTTTTATTTTTTGGTAGAAGGAATTTGATATAACTATTAAGATTTTATTAGAAGAAATCATCTTCATCTAGATAGATTTTGGCTCTGATCCTGATGTAAAAGTGGAAGCAGATCTGTGTATGGTAATACATATATACGCTCATGTTACAAAGAGATGAGTATGCGAATGCCTGCTACTTATATAAGGGGGTGGAGGAAAATTGTAATCATCTGCTTCTATGGAGTATATAGACTTTGGACCACGGTTTACAATTCACTTGGTATCAGTTGGGTGTCTGCTGGCTCGTTATGAGAGGAAATTTGGGCTTGGAAGGGTTTGGGGTGTGGAAGGAAACAAGCAGAAGTTTACTATTTTCGGGGTTGTGTGGAAGAAGAGAAGCAAAAAGGCTTTCGAGGGGGTTGAGGATGTTGATGGATATGATTTACTCAAGAATAGATGGTTGCAGATCCTTGGTTTTTTGTTAGCGGGTCACTCTATTAATTCATCTTTAGAGTTAGGGAACCTTCTAGATAACTTAATTAATTTGTAAATATTTTTGTAAATGGATGACCCTACCTTGATGCCAATATTAATACATATTCATACTTTTTATTTTTTTTAAAAAAGCTACAAAGAGATGAGTATGTGAGTCTAGTAGATAAACGAGGACACATGTACAATAGATGGAGATGAAGGATAAGGGATAAGGGATTGGACGAGTGAGAGTCTAGTTGTGAGGACTTTAATAGGTCGAATATTTTACAACACCAATGGTGTTAATAAGAATCATGAAGTTTACTTAGTGGCTTATCAATTTTTGTTTCCAGAATTATAGTATGTTCGTTCTTTCTCTTCTTTATTGGGATGAGTGTTGTCATTCTATCAATATTCAATTACCTTTCCATGCACCCCCAATTTAATATTTTCCCATATTTTTATTATGATATCTCATAGTTTTCATTTCAGGTTTTAGTTTAACAAATTTACTATGTCAAATGACTTCTAGCAGAGATGGTAAAATCTGGTTCATGCAATAAACCTGAGTCGACCAACTTGAAATTGGAACGATCTGAATCGAGGTTTCTATAACTCAAAACTGAAGTAATGGGAACAAGAATTAACTTGATATCTAGTATAAGATTTTGGTGGTTAAGAAGAAACCTTAAGTAGTTAGATTGTTAAAAAGTTAGGAAATTAATTGTGCATGCAAACTGTCAAAATTCTAGTGGTTTCAAGCTATAAATGGCCATTATTGGAGTTGTAAAGCATCCAAAAAAGGAATAAGAGTTATCTCCTTTTTCTGCTGTTGTTATCCTCTCTATCTCTAATTATTCTCTTCTATACATATTTTTTCTGTATCATTGATATGAAAGCACTTTTCCGGGCAATCCTGGTAGATTCCCAGTCACACACCAAAAGAATTGCATGAAATCGATGAAATTGCAAGACAAGTAAATGACCTTGTCTATCATTGTGCCAAATTTGTTTTAAAGAGAAATGTAATAACTAGGATTTGAAGGTTGGATTTTTGGCCCTCATACCATTTTAAATAATTTACTAAACCAATTATCCTAAAAGTTTAAGTTGGTAGGAAATGGTCCAATCAATTGTTTATACTCTAATAACATGGTTTTCCTTTGCCGAAATATGGTAGAATGCCACTTATCATTGAGCAAATAATATCATACCCATTTAACTATTATGCATCCCATATTTAACTGGAGATTCTAAAGTTCTTACATTCGATCAATACATGATAAGCAGACAAGTTTCATATAGAAAAAGCCCATCGCGACCACACCGATCGCACATTTCAGGTGGGTCAACATGTATATGTGAGATAACAACCTTATTGACATAATACTTTGGAGCAATGCTCCAATCATAAGCTTAGTCATCTTTACTCGAACCCCTTTAAGGTCATACTATGAGTAGGTAAGGTAGCTTACAAGCTCCAGCTACCATAGATGGTAGAATTCACAACACATTTCATGTGTGGCAGATTAAGGCATCGCCATCAGATGCTCAGCCACAAGAACGACCTATGGACCATATGGCAATTCAACTTACAAGAACGACATATTGAATTTCGTGTTTGGAAATTTTTGACTGATTTAACTGTTAGATACAATCTCAATGTGATTTATACCTATATATTTATGTTTCTTTCACATCTCTTATCTCAGCAGTGAATGCTTTTATTATTAAAATCCCAGAGCATATTGTTCTTTATTAGACAGTGCTTTAGCTTTATGCTATTTAACTGAAAAGCACTTTCAAATATTCAGGCCTAGTCAATGTCGCTAAACTGATTGGATGTAACACCGAAGACATTAAGCTTGCTTTATCAACTCGCAAAATGAGAGTTGGTAATGACAATATCGTGCAGAAGCTAACATTGTCGCAGGTAAGAACAATTCTTTTGATACCACATCCTTTGTCTGGTACTTTTAGACTTGCATACGCAAACATTCAATTAATGCAAGCACTCAATAGGAGGGGGTATCTTCAGTCATGAATCAATGAATTTCATCTTGAAGGGGAGTTTAAGGCCATCTTATTGGATTAACAGCATGTTCAATTCTCTTTTTATTTTTTCAGGCCATCGATACAAGAGATGCTTTAGCAAAATCAATTTATGCTTGCTTGTTTGATTGGCTGGTTGAACAAATCAACAAATCGCTTGCTGTTGGCAAAAGGCGAACAGGCAGATCCATCAGCATTCTTGATATTTATGGCTTTGAGTCATTTGATGTATGTTTCAGTTTCGTCATACCATTGCTTTTGTCCATCTCTTCTTATACACAAGCAATAGTATTTATGGCTTTGGATCAGTTGATGTAAGTTGCAATTTTCTGCAGAGAAATAGTTTCGAGCAGTTCTGCATAAATTATGCAAATGAGAGATTGCAGCAACACTTTAACCGTCATTTATTCAAGCTGGAGCAGGAGGTAATGTAGGGCATTGAATAGTATGTGTTTAACAATATTATCCGAAAAAAGAAATTCCTGGATCAGTCTTGTTTGATTTCTTATTTTATTCAAAGTTATTCTTGTTCAGATTCTTCAGATCAAAGCATAATACAACAAGAAAATATGGATTTCCAAAATGTGTCAACCAATTCCTTAAGTGAGGTTTAGTATTTTACCAGATAGGTCATAGAGTAAACACTTCATAGTACTAAAACATTGTCTTCAGAGCCTTTAAGTCAAGTGGCTCTTTTGTAATTTGCATGAGGTAGCATTATGGTTAGCATATGAAAGGCTTGGGAGCCTTTTATCATTTGCATAATATGGATATTATGGTCACAATTATAAAAGTTAAGAGAGACAAGTACTGTAAATTTTCAGAATAATTTCACTTGGTGAATTGTGATTTTATTTGTGATGTGTATTTATACAAAAGTTACAAGTAAGACTCCACCTTGAGGTGGAACTCATTTAAAAATAAAATCCGAGAATAGAATATAAATCTACTCTATCATCCTCCCTCCATCTGCACATGGAAGCGTGCAAAGATTGATCCTTAATAAGTGAAAAAGCTTTGAGATAAGATCTTGGGTGAAGATGTCAACTAATTGGTCTTGACTCGGGATATAATGAATTTGTAATGTTTCGGTTTAGACTTATGCGTTAATGAAGTGAATATCCAACTCAATATGTTTAAAAAGGCATATTGAATTGAATTAGAAGCCTTTTAGGCAGTTTTAGTATTATCACACCAGAGGACTGGTTTGGTCTCTAAGGGAACATGTAGTTCACGAAATAAATTTTTGATCCAAGTTAGATTTGTCACTGCATGATAATCCACTTAAACACTAGAATGGGAAAAAATATTTTGTTTCTTGGCCTTCATGAGATCAAGTTGGATCATAAAAAGATGCAATACCCAGTTGCAGAGCATCATGTGTCTGGACTCCGCCATAATCAGCATTAAAGTAGCTAGTGAGTCTGTAAGAAGAATTGGAGTACAACTGAAGACCATGATCGATAGTGCCTTGAACATAAATTAGTATGCGTTTAACGGCCTGAAAATGATCCTCGCGGGAGCATGCATTTGTTGGCGTGCTTGATTAATAACAAAGCATAAATTAGGGGTGAGGGAAAGTGAGGTACTGTAGTGTCTCCACTAAACTGCGATATAAATATAGAGTTTGGATTAGTGAGGGAAGAGATTTTGACCTGGAGAGGTATTATTAAAGGGAAGAAACATGTGAGTCTCATTCCCCTTGCTAACTTTTGGGTGGTGGGGGCGAGAGGAACATAAGAGCTTTTGAAAGGGGTGGAAGATGACTTTGATAGGGTTAGAGATAGATAGCTCAAAACATTGGGATTTTCGATTATGAGTCATCCTCTTTTTACAATGGAGAATTTTGAGAATCTTATTGATATTTTGATTAATATATAATTTTTTTTTGTACATGGTTAG